TTGGCACAACATGAGCGTCAGCCTGTCTTTCATAGGCTTGTGTCCTGGCAGTGCCTTTTCCTCCTGTGTAATGTAGGTCCTCTTTGGCATTTTCTTCCCAAAGAGGCCTGTTTCGTCACAATTGAACACGTTCAGGTTTCAGTCCTTCAGCCTCTATGTACTCCTTAAATTCATGCACATATTTTTCAGCCGCTTTGTGGTCCGAACTGGCAGCCTCACCATGCCTTACCACACTGTGTCACTACGGTTCTTAAATCTCTCAAACCAACCTTTGCTGGCCTTAAATTCACTCACATCACCACTATTTACAGGTAATTTCTTTACCAGATCGTCATGCAACTGCCTAGCCTTTTCACAAATAATCGACGTCATAATACATGTGCATACTATCTCCTGCTAATTGTTTCTCGTTTATCCACACCAATAATAACTTCTCAACCTCTTCGAGTACTGGTGATCTCATGTTTGTCAGCATATTTACCCCCTTTGCAACAACAGCATCTTTGATTTCCTTTTCCTTGGCCATGATGGAACATGTGGTTGTGTAAGGTTTGTTATATATCCTGGCCAGTTCGGCCGCACTTAAGCCACTTACATATTGTTCAATGATGTTTTTCTTAAATTCAATCGTTTTTCTCACCTTCTTTACCAAAGTCTTGGCACTAGGAGCTTTCTTTGGAGCCATGGTAGCTTATTTAGTACAGTACTTGCAAGCACTAAAATGAGTGGAATACTGTATTATGAAATATTTCGTAGGAGCATGTGAGGGGACCTTTGCTCACTGGTAAACAATGCCAGACTGGCTGGGTAGGGAGGCCGCCTCGGCTCGCACCGTGTCTACGCGTCCTGGACGAACTACTATTCGCGAGTCAACCTACGATTAGCGAGCCCATGTTATACGAAAATATCACTATGATTTCCGAAATCTATGACTCTCGAGCCCTATGATTATCAAGGGACCACTGTATTAGGTATACAGTAACATAAATAATGTAGAAGCATGATAAAGACACCCAAATTAATAAAAACTAATACAGTGGACCCTCAGCCAATGAAGGCATCATCTAATGATAAAATCGACTAACAAAGCGTTTTAGCGTAAAAATTTTGGACCAACCAACGATGAAAAACTCTAACATCATTCGTCCCGAACGTGTCCATCTCAGCTCAGCTAGTGTGCCATTGTTTACAAGCCAGGGTGGATGGTTCCATGCATGTATGGGATACATTTTGTATTATTCCATTGTTCTTAGTGCTTGTAACTGCTAAATAAGCCACCATGGGCCCAAAGAAAGCTTCTAGTGCCAACCCTGTGGTAAAAAGGGTGAGAAATACTATCGTACCATGGTCAGCTGCTGCTGTACCATGGTCAGCTGCTGCACCACTGCCAGCTGTTGCTGTACCACCATCAGCTGCTGCTGCTGTACCACTGTCAGCTGCTGCTGTACCACCGTCTGCTGCTGCTGTACCACTGTCAGCTGCTGCTGTACCACTGTCAGCTGCTGCTGTACCACTGTCAGCTGCTGCTGTATCACTGTCAGCTGCTGCTGCACCACCATCAGCTGTTGCTGCACCACTGTCAGCTGCTGCTGCACCACCGTCAGCTGCTGCCGCACCACCGTCGGCTGCTGCCGTACCACAGTCAGCTGCTGCTGCACCATCGTCAGCTTCTGCTGCTGCACCATCGTCAGCTGCTGCTGCTGCACCATCGTCAGCTGTTGCTGTTGCACCATCGTCAGCTGCTGCTGCTGCACCATCATCAGCTGCTGCTGCTGCACCATAGCTGCTGCTGCTGCACCATCGTCAGCTGCTACTGCTGCACCATCGTCAGCTGCTGCTGCTGCATCATCATCAGCTGCTGCTTCACCAGTGTCAGCTGCTGCTACACCATAGTCAGCTGCTGCAGTACCAAGGTCAGCTGCTGCTGCAGCTGCACCGCCGTCAGCTATACTGCTCGAAGATGTGGAGAGAGTGTTGTTGGTGTGGCTTAACAAGAAACAATTAACAACAGAGGGTTAGCCACCCAGGATAACCCAAGAAAGTCAGTGTGTCATCGAGGACTGCCTAACTTATTTCCATTGGGGGTCCTTAATCTTGTCCCCCAGGGTGTGACCCACACCAGCGACTAATCCTCAAGTGAACAGGAAAAAATGCCTGCAACTAGTATTCATATTGGTGAATTTAAGGCCAGCAAAGGTTGGTTTGAGAGATTTAAGAATCATAGTGGCATAGATGGTGTGATAAGGCATGACGAAGCTGAAAAATTCCATCCCCAACAAGTGTTCAGTTGTGACGAAACAGGCCTTTTCTGGAAGAAAATGCCAAACAGGACCTACGTTACTCAGGAAGAAAAGGCACTCCCAGGACACAAGCCTATGAAGAACAGGCTAACTCTGATGTTTTGTTGTAATGCTAGTGGGAATTGCAAAGTGAAGCCTTTATTCATGTATCACTCTGAAAATACCAGTGTTCAAGAAAAACAGTGTCTCAACACTCATCAATACTCTTCAATAAAGGTAAGTGTCATTTTAGCATTTATTTATGTAGTTATTGTGCATGTCTCATTGTTTTCTTTGTAGGGAAATCTATATTTTATGAAAAAAAAAAATTTAATACTTTTGGCTGCCTGGAATGGATTAATTGGATTTCCATTATTTTTTATGGGGAAAATTAATTCAACTAACGATAAATTTGGCTAAGGACAAGCTCTCTGAAACGGATTAATATCATTTGTCGAGGGTCCACTGTATATAGAGGTAGTGAAGGGTGGAGGGCGGGGAGGGATAAAAAAAAAAAAAGTGACCGCGACCATTACAGAAAATGTTACACTCTATTCTCCTGAAGGGTAACTGTAGAAGATCGCTCTTATCTTATGCAAAGATGGAAAAAAGTGTGATTTTCTTGAAAAAAAAAATCCCAAGTAATAAGCTATGCAGGCATTCTTGGAATATCTCAGAAGTAAGCCATTGACCTATTTCATGTTGTATTACCATTAATACAGTGGACCCTCAGATTGTCGTCACCGGAATAAGTAATATTCAGAATAAGTCAAAATATTATCTTTGTGAATGTCACAGAACTCAGTATAAGTCATTCATGTCGGGGCCTGAGCGGCCCTGACACTCCATGTACAGCCAGTGTGCCATTGTTTACCAGCCAGTGAGGACGATCCCACTTGTACATATGATACATTTTGTATTATTCCATTCTTTTTAGTACTTGTAACTGCTAAATAAGCCACAATAGGCCTAAAGAAAGCTTCTAGTGCCAGCCAGCCCTTTGGTAAAGGCTTTTGGAGAGAGGGGAGAATGCCTTTTTCAGTGATTCTGCAATATGTACGATACTAAAGCAGCAGGAGTCTATAAAGGCTATAGCACCAGCCAGCAATAAAGTGTAGCATTAACAGTGTAGCCAGTAAGTGTAGCAAGTAAGCAAATAATCGATAGAAAGAGGAAAACACGAAACTGACTCCTCCATTGTTGTTGGAGGTATATAAGGCTACTGACTAACACCGCCACCTCTGCTGCCGTCTTCACCACCACTATATAAGGCTTATCTTTCAGTGGCCCTTATACACCCAACAACATTCTAGAGTATATATAATGTTTCTATGTTATTAATATTGTTTATTATGTCACATTAGATGAATTGTGCTACATAAATAAGCCAGAAACAGACTTCTCTGGAACACTTTTTTTGAGTGACAGGGGTCCAGTGACTCTCAAGCTGGTCCTAGTAGCATTAAAAAACAAAGGAGGGAAGTAACCCAGGATAAGGACTTGGTACCTGAAGTCTTTATGGAAGGGGATTCCCCTTCCAAACATTTGTAAACTCCTCCATCCTCTCCCCTCCTCCCATCTTCCATACATTACCATGTCTTCAATAAAGGTAAGTGTGATGTTATTGTTTTATTCTTTATGTATCATTGTTTTCTGTGCAGGTAAGTGTATATTTCATGTAGAAATTTTTTTTTTAATACTTTTGGGTGTCTGAAATGGATTAATTGGGTTTCCATTATTTCTTATGGGGAAAATTAATTCGGAATAAGTCACTCTCCCTGGAACGGATTAATAACATAATCCGGGGGTTCACTGTAAATAGATTGAAAGGAATTTTCCAGCAAACATAAAACTGAATGTTTTAATTTTGGGTGGTGATACTTTTGAAGTGTCAGTAAGGGGTGATTCTTCGATTAGCGATGAATTTGTTTACCGACGTGGCCTTAGGAACGGAACTCTATCAGTAAGTGAGGAGAGGCTGTATACACCTGCAGCCAAAATTTAAAGTAAGATTTTTAAATTGCTTGTACTGTATTCTCACTACATCCTCTGATGTCATGTAGGGCCACATCAACCCCTCTCCACTCATTTCCAGATCAACAAGCAACAACAACTATGAAAAACTATACATTTGATGAATTAGAATTTTTTGTGTGTTTAGAACGCAGCCTTGTTTTTTTACCAAATCTTTTTTCAGTCTTCTTCAGGCATGGGACCAATTTTTCAGAAATGTAACCTGTGTGAAATGTGAGTCTTCTGTATTGGGAATCTTAAGCAGATGAAACTTAAAAATATGCCTGATCTTGCGTAAACACTAGCCTCGTTAAGTATTCTACAACAGTACCCTGTCAGGAATAGGAAGGCCATAGCTTGTCAGTATTTACATATTTCCCCTATTCAAGGACAAAATTGTATCTACACAGTCATTTGTATGTTATTATGAGTCCAAAAAAAAAATACACATTCAGTACTGGCCATATCGAGCAGTTTGGTTACATGGATGCTGAGATATTTGGAACACTATTTTTGTTCTTAATTGATAAACTGTGCAGTATCATGAAATATAAGTTATCCTATACTTTGCCTTTGAACATTTATTGTAATGTTTTATGTATGTACTGTGTGTTTAAACTTACTTGCTTACCTGTAGCACACTGTACAGTGGACACACTTTTTTCTTGTTTTGGTAATCATTCCTAATTTTGTACTTTGCATTTTCAGATATCAATGAGCTGACATTGCCTAAGACCTGTGACACTGAATTCCCAGATCCTGATGATCTTTTGAATTTCAAATTAATTATATGTCCAGATGAGGTAAGGCACTTACCAGTCTGTCTCTGGGGGTATGATTAGTCAAGCCTTTCAAGGTTATTTTACTGGTAGTTCAGGGATTGCATGAAAAGTACACATATTCAACTGAAGTCATAAAGAAGGGGGGGAAAAGAGGAAGAGAAGTGGATTGTTTATGAGTTTCTTTTAAAAAAAATATCAGTGCTAGGAAAGAAACTACAGCAAATTTTGTCTTCTTACAATGAATACAGTTAAGGGGGCACAAGAAAGTTCAGATGGGAAGAAGCGTTGAAATTAAATTGATCTTGAGACAAATATAATCTAGAAACCTATGTAGTAAGATGACTCATGAAATCGTGAGACTCTGATCACAGGTTCTATCCCCGCCCGTGGTATGGGTTATTTCCTATGTAGTAAGGTTTGATTCAGTAATTTGTTTCTTTATATAATTACAGTGGATCCCCGGTTTATGATATTATTTCATTCCAGAAGTATGTTCAGGTGCCATTACTGAACGAATTTGTTCCCATAAGGAATATTGTGAATCAGATTAGTCCATTTCAGACCCCCAAACATACACGTACAAACGCACTTACATAAATACACTTATATAATTGGTCGCATTGGGAGCTGATTGTAAAGCGGGGGTCCACTGTATTAGATTTTAACCCTTTGAGGGTCGACAGGCCCTCTCCGAGACTCGTTCTCAGGGTTGGCCAAATTTAAAAAAAAAAAATTTTTCTTATGAAAAGATAGAGAATCTTTTCCTGATCATAATGACACCAAAAATATGAAATTTGATGGAAAACTTATGGAATTATGCTCTCGCGAAGTTAGCGGTCTCGGCAATGTTTATGGATCGGCGATTTTGCCCACTTTGAGCCCCATTTTCGACCAGTTCCACTGCACTAGTCGACAAAAAACATGAATACTTCGCTAGAACTCCATTTTTTCTATTGAATGAGTACAAGAAACTACCCATTTACCAATTTCAACTATACAGTACAGTGGTCAGAATTTAGCAATTTTGACAATTTCACACAAATTTCAAAAGATGCCAATTTCCGAATAGGGTCCAGAACAAACAAAAGATACATTCCTGGCGCTAAAATGACATTTCCTCTGTTCATTAGTCACGTCTCAAGGCCCCTCTTACATTCTTTTGCTTTCCACTTTGAATTTTTATTCTCACAAAAAATAGAAGATTTACTGTTATGCAGACTACTGCATTAGTGTAAAAAATGGTATGAATCATATTGGCGCACTTGCAAAAGAATATTAGACTCACCAGTTGACGTGTATTGGACGCTTGGCATGATTTGTTTACTTTTGAACTTTGGTAAAAATCGAACATTTCTGCTACTTTGAGCTCAATTTCAAGGTACTTTTCGTTGTAAAACCAGTCAAAATCATCTCAATTTCTATGATATGCCTTCCATTCTATAAAATGAGACCAAGAAAACTAGAATACAGCAATAAATACCATATGAAAATACAGTGCAAAGTCGCTGTTTTATTCCAAAAAAACGGTCAAAGATTTTTTTTTCTCATTATGCACTGTGTGCTGCAGGATTTTTTTTATACCGTGCACACTGACCACATAGACCCATTCTTTCATATGGAGGCCTACCATCTTTCTCCCATTAGATTTGAGGGTGCTAGAATTAGACCCATTCTTTCATATGGAGGCCTACCATCTTTCTCCCATTAGATTTGAGGGTGCTAGAATTTAGGCGTACTAGTACGTCAAAAACCCTGGGTCGTAAGCCGTACTAGTAAGTCCGAAACCCTCAAAGGGTTAAACACTTATTAATAACTTTTAGAATCTCTCTTATGATTTTAGTCTTGTGCATAACATAACTGCTGTCACTACCTGATCCAACATGTGTGTTCATGTACAATATCAAATTTTTACTTGTTTCACCTATGTTGTAGATACTACTTTTTCTGTTTTTTTTTTGTGTGAGATCCTGATTTTGAAGATCCTGTTCTAAACATATTTTCAATCTTCATATGTATGTAAATATGTTGTAAAATCAGAACTTTTATAACCCTTTAACCCTTTGACTGTCGCGGCCGTATATATGTCTTACGAGGTACCATGTTTGATGTATATATACTCATAAATTCTAGCGGCTTCAAATCAAGCAGGAGAAAGCTGGTAGGCCCACATATGAGAGAATGGGTCTGTGTGATCAGTGTGCACCATATAAAAAAATTCTGGGAGCACACAGTGCATAATGAGAAAAAAAAAAACTCCGACTTTTTTTTTTTTTTTTTTATTAAAATGCCGACTTTGTGGTCTATTTTCGTATAGTATTTATGGTTGTATTCTTGTTTTCTTGGTCTCATTTGATAGAATGGAAAATATATTATAGAAATAGAGGTGGTTTTGATTGATTTTACTATAAAGAGAACCTGGAAATGGAGCCCAAAATACGGGAAATGTTTGATTTTTATCGATGTTCAGAAGTAAACAAATGATGTCATTGTCCAATAAATGTCCAACTAGCCATTCTAATATCCAGTCGTGAATGGGTTGATGTTATTTATACAATTATTACAGTATTGCAGTAGTCTGCATAACAGTAAATCTTCTATTTTTTGTTTGAATAAAAATTCAAAATTAGAAATCAAGAGTAATATCACAGGGGCCTAGAGACATGACTGATGAACAAAGAAAATGTTATTTTAGAGCCAGGAATGTCTGCATTATTTATTCTGGTCCTTATTTTGAAATTGTCATTTTTTAAATTTTCGTGAAATTGGCCAAATTGCAAATTTCTGACCACGTTATTGGGTAGTTGAAATCGGTAAATGGGCAGTTTCTTGTACTCAATCGATAGAAAAAATGGAGTTCTAAAGAAATATCTATGAGTTTGGTCGGCTGGAACAATGGAATTAGCCGAAAATAGGGCTCAAAGTGGGCAAAATCGCCGATTTGTAAATATCACCGAGATCGCTAACTTCGCGAGAGCATAATTCCGTCAGTTTTCCATCAGATTTCGTTTTTTTTTGGTATCATTATAATCGGGAAAAGATACTCTATCATTTCATAAAAAAATATTTTTTTTAACCCATAAACGGTCCAAACTTATACATATATACATTCACTACTGTACTGCCCCAACTTATTTGAGAAAAAAAGTTTTTTTTTTAATAGGAAAAAAGAGCATATGGTACCCAGGCATCCCCAATTATTTTAATATGGTGCACAGTGAGTGCTCACACCCATTCTTATATGTCTAGGCGACTCAGGCTTATCATGGCAATGTTAAATGTAGGACACATAAAACATATATGTACGTTTGGGGCACTAGCGGTAAAAACGTACATATACGTTTGGACCATTTACGGGTTAAATTTTGCGACACCAGGAGACACCTCAGGATTGGGGGTTGCGACAGTCAAGGGGTTAAAGGGTTGGTGCCATACTTGTAGGGCTTGAGGGCCAGGGTCAGTGCCGTACTTGTACGCCTAAGTTCTAGCGCCTTCAAATCTAGCGAGAGAAAGCTGGTAGGCCTTCATATGAAAGAATGGGTTTGTGTGGTCAGTGTGTGCAGTATAAAATCCTGCAGCACAGAGTGCAAAATGGAAAAAAAAAAAAACCGACCATGTTTTTGGTTTAAAACAGCAAATTTGTAGTGTATTTTTGTATGGTATGGTTATATTCTTGTTTTCTTGGTCTCATTTGATAGAATGGAAGATACAGTACACCGTCATTTAGCACTAGTTTATTTGGCACGATTTGAGTATAGCACGATTGAAGAATTGCAACACAATTTTGTTACACGTCCTATAATCAATTTAATGCGATTCACAGGAGGGGAAAAAATTTTGAGCACGCAGTCGCCCAGTCGCCTGTGGTGGGTTATACCAATGACTCAATGGGGTAGGCCTATTGCCATCCCCCTGCCACCCACACCCACACCCACCCCCACCACACTCCCAGCCTCCGGTTCGGTTCATACGCTTGCAGGACAAAGATACTCGGGAACCTTGCTGCGTTTATTTACATTCATTGTACTACATATTTTCATTGTCATTTGTTAAATCTGCCAAGCAATCATGGCACCCAGTATGCATACAAGTGTTGCTGAAAGTGACAAGAAAAGGTTTAAGCGTTCAAGTCTAGGAATTGCGAAGAAAATTGAGATACTAGACAAGCTTAACCCTCTGAGGGTCGGTCACGTACTAGTACAGTACGTCATTGCAGCCAGGGTCCGTCACGTACTAGTACACGTAAATTCTAGCACCTTCAAATTGAGCGGGAGAAAGCTGGTAGGCCTTCATGTGAGAGAATGGGTGTGTGTGGTCAGTGTGTGCAGATGGAAAAAATTCGGGCACCCAGTGGAGCATTGTGGGAACGCCATTTTAGCTCACCTTGTCCACCATGCCTTGTGGTAAGAAGCTCCTCACTCCTCAGCGAACTGGGACTCTTTTGTTCCCAAGTGACAGTTCAAATACAGATGGAAGTGTCTGTGAAGATGATTTCCAGGGTTTTTGGGAGTTT